TTTTTTTTAAGGGATCTGTCTTCATTGTCATCTGGTTGTATTCTTTTTCTGCAAACTGGACTCATGTCGGATCCCCTTTTGCTACTTTTTTGAAGTTTTTTTCTTTCTTTTTGTTCCCTAATTTGACTTGTGTTGTGTACTGGGTTGTGGTTGCGTGCGCAGTTGTACTTTTTCTTTATTGGACCATTTCTCGGTTTATGTGTGTTATGATGTTATCCTTGCGCAGGGTCCATGCTACTCTTCTCGGAACCAAATTCCAATTTGAACGGGTGTCCCGAAGGACAGTTAAGTCCTGCTTCTGAGTTCAGCGAGGACTTGAGTCCTCGTCATACCTGTATGGGGCCCTTACAACAAGCATATGCCTGCCCTAATAAGTGAAGGCGGGCCCGCGAATCTTTTTTTTTCTTTTTTTTGAAGTCCAGGGTTTTGTAGAGGGCAGTTAGTTCGCACACAGTGATTACTGGGAGCGGTCAGCCATGGTTGCCCTGAGAAGATGAGGTGACCTCCCGTCCCATCCTCGGCATACCTGTATGGGGTACAACAAGCATTTGCCTGCCCTAATAAGTGAAGGCGGGGCCCCAAATCTTTTTTTTTTTTTTTTTTTTTTTTTTTTTTTTTTTTGGAAGTCCAGGGTGTTGTAGAGGCCAGTTACGTGGCCAACGGTGATTACTGGGAGCGATCAGCCGTGGTTGCCCTGAGAAGACGAGGCTACCACCCATCCCATCCTCGCGTCAATACTCCGAGCACACCCCCTATCCCTACTATCCTACCTGAGTGTGACCATCACTGAGGACCGTTACCCTACCAGTATCGAGAGGAACTTGGACCGGACAGGGGTGAGGCCTGAATACGGCAACTGTGAAGGCCCTGGTGGGCGGGAGCCAGACAGCTCTACCACACGCGAGTTGGTAATGTACGCCCTGCTCGTGAGCATCAGAATCATCAGTGAGCCTTCCAGGTCCTTCCCTTCTCTATGTGGTGCAAACCAAGTGGATATTGAGACTAACAGCACTAACTCTGTAGAGCAATCTACAGTGGGTACCCCTGACACTTAACCACACAACGGAACTGGAACCACACAAATCCTCACCCAACATGTTGGGCCTCTTTTGGATCTGCAGTAGACAATGGCCCCTTTTTCCAGTATTTAAGAAGATCCACTCTAACTTCCAGCTAAATCCGGAAGAAGAATTGGAGAACGAGCCCTCTAAATCCCTTCTGTGAACAACTTCTGCACACCTGGACAAAAATCTTCCCGGGAAAACAGACTGAGACCAAGAGGGAGGGATGATAAGTTCCTCCGACAACCCATCTTCTTTGGCAATCCCTGGATCAAGGATGAGAAAGGTGAAAGCCTTCCTCTTACCAAAGCGGATGCCAAATGGGGACACTGGCTTGAAAAAAGTAGTATGACAAATTCAACACTTATTCAATGAATCTACCAATAACTGGAGGACAGAAAGAACTAAGAATGGTTCTAAAAGGAAGTCACAACCTACAATCCAACTTATCCCCCTCATCATCGACACCATCCCGCAGATTGAATGCCGCCGTCTATCCATCTATTCAACTGGCCGTCACAGAACGACCAAGCTACCACACAGAAAGTCCTTTTTTTTTTTTTTTTTTTTTTTTTTTTTTAACCACACAGAAAGTCCTGAGATTTGTACGCAATGAAATCCTTAACAATGAATGGATATGCTGTGGCGTTTTCCGCTTGGAAGAACCAAGAAACCCAGCAAGCTACCTGAGCAAAGAAAGTACAAAATATCAGATTACACGAAAGCACAAAATGACAGATTACACCGCTAAACTAGCCTACAAGCTGTTCTCCACATCCATTACAGTTTCCTCTCCATTCCAAAAAAGATGACAAAAAGAGGAAAGTTATCTCACCAACACGATCTTCAACCGCCCCCCCCCCCCCCTCTCCCCCCTGGTGATCAACATTTTGTGCAAGGCTACTGTCTTCACCCGAATAGAACGCCCGGTCATTACAGTTGCATTTTGATGCAACTTTCAGTCCAGATGCAGCAACAAGTACCGGGCGTTCTATTCGGGTGAAGGTGGTAGTCAAGCTGGCAAGCCTTCTATGGCTCATAACATTCCGAGCAGTCAGACTGAACTCCTGGCCGGCACAAAGACGTCAGAGTTTCCTGACGTCAGAGTCTCCTCGGAAGCTAGAGTATTTGCTCCAAGCCTCTCAAGTTAGTTCTACCTCGTTCCGGAGAATTTGCGCTCGCTCGCATTCCACAAAGCAGTGGTTGTGTGTCTCTTTGGATTGACTGGAGTTGCAGACTTCACACCATGACGCCCGATCTGAGATGCCAAACAGTACAAATCAATCCGGGCACCATGTTCCTAGACATAGAGCGAACCCCCGCTTTCAAAGGTGTTGACTTATTCTTCTTCTTCTCACTAATTAGCAAAGCGACTCTTTGGGCTAATCGGAGAAGGAGATGCGACCAGAGTCACCACCAGCTTTGATGATCGCCTCGTTAACCCCAACATCCTCTCATTATTATCAAACAACAAATTGAAACTGAAATCCACAAACTCTCTCTTGAAAAGAACACAGAACCAAATTAAAAAAACGCCCCTGACAAAAAGCTTGAGATCACCAAAAGATTCACCATACCGAAATTAGAAAGGCGAAATCGAGGCACCATAGAGGGGATTAGATTAGTCCTGAAAGATTTTGTAAACCCTGCCAGCTCACAAAACTCAGGGATCAGATAACATCACAAGACTACCCCAGAACCATATGGACGAACCCAGCAATTAACAGACCGCATGACATATTTGATGAGAATATCTAAGTCGCCATAAGCTCGTGAGCAAGGAGACAGTAGAGGATCACAGGAAGCAGTTTCGGGTTAAGGTTTCTGACAAACCGGGGAAACGGCAGATTTCAATCACTGTAATTATGGTTTAGGTATCTGACCGCAATTATGTCCAGAGCTCCTTCCGAAAGGTCGTACTGTGAGTATACTATGGCGGGTGCTGCACCGCCATAGATAAAGCTCACAGAGTTTGTAAAACACAAGAGGAAAAATAGCCTCAGCACTTCTTTTCGCCAGGCAGGGACTGTTGATGGCCAAATAGGTAGGGGAGAGAGTCACACTGCAAAAACAGGAAAGAGGCTTGTAGGGAGCCAGGACTGATCAAAAGGGGTGCAATGCTCCAGTTTCATAAGCATATCAGACGGCAATCAGCTTAGAGGAGCAAAATAGCTCTAAGGTTTTACAGAAGATCTGAACTACCGTCTTCACCCAAATAGAAAGCCCAGTAATTATGGCCGTATCTGGACTGAAAATTGCACCAAATATGGCTATAATGACCGGGCGTTCTATTCGGGTGAAGATGGTAGCTTCAGGAGTCGATAAACGCCGACAGGAACCAGACAGCAAGGGTGTTAGTAGCAATCGGCTAACTTATATAACTTATATTGATTGGATCAAAGTGTGCGAGAATGGCCGTGTCCGTGCGTTGAGTGTGGTGGGCGTCGAGTTGGACACTACAGACTTGCAGGGGTGAGGGGGATATCATGACCAGTATGGTTCCACTCTTAACGCCGTGCCCTGGCTGTAGTGGTTAAGAGACTTGGCTCTTGAGGCTGAGGTCGCCGTCTCAAATCTGTGGCCCAGATGTACGGACCCATAACTAATAACTTAGGCAGGGGCGACAAGAGGTACTTATCCTCCGAGACTGGAAGTAATCAATGCCGCCCACTCGGGTCTCCCGCTTGAATTATGGGCTGGTGGCAGAGCCATAAGGTTGTGTGTGTCCTTTTTCTTTAATTGAAAAAAAGGAGGGGGGGAAAAGGCCGGACCGGGATGTTTCTGACCACAATTATGTCCAGAGCTCCTTCCAAAAAGTCGTACTGTGAGTATACTATGCCCTGAGTGTGGCGGTGCAGCACCCGTCAACACCGGGGTGAGGTTAAGTAGTGCAGCAAGGCGTTCAATCACTGTAACTCCTTTTTTTTTTTTTTTTTTTCCCCAATCACTATAACATTTCGCCACATTGTGCTTTTTGATGTTTTGCTGTTTGACATGTGTTGTCCTTTTACTTTTTTTTTTTTTTTTTTTTTTTGTTGGGCCGATAATTGTCCGTGCGGAGGACAGGTTGGCAGATGCATACGGTGCTGAGAGAAACAAGGCTCGTGAAACTTCATGTATCTCGCGTGCGTGGTTTGGCCTCGTCAATCACTGGCGTTTATGGAGAAGTGTTGAAACAATGAATAAAAAGAGAGAAGAGAAGCGCAAAATTAGTTCATGGAGGAAATGGGCAGCATGCACACAACGGTCAAGAACAACAATGAAGTGGAGGGCAGGAAGACAGCACATGCAGCTGAGCGCTCTCCTTCGCGAGTGGGGAGCGTACGTGAGCTGCCGCAAAGAGAAGTCTTCTTTGGTTCAAAGGGTAGGGCGAATAGATCTTCCCTCCCTGCCCTCCCCCCCCCCAGTCAATCAATCTTCTCCTCCTCCTTCCTGCTACCCCCTGCTTTATAGGAATGTGGCGATGCGCTATGTCGGAAACTAGGAATTATACCGGAGTTACAGTGAGCGAACGGGGAGTTGACGGGGAGTTGGAGTTTCACACCAGGCTGCTCATGAAACATCACAATTATCATTGAATTATGATTGCAGTGTCTCATGGGAGACAGTTGCATTCTAATTGTAGTTTCTCCCCTGTGGGACAGTTTCATTAAACTGTTGCCACTGGATGAGTCACACATCATGCCTTGAGCTCCCGGATAATTGTACCCTGGGTTGCTCGGCATGCAACACCCCTGGCCTCAGCTCAGGGGCCATTTGGCTGGTGTAAACCGCGCCTACACTTTGTCATGGTGGTATGTGTTGTACTCTCCATGCTGGGGTGGGCTGAAAATTCCCATCTGCGGGCTTTAGTTTCTTCCCATCTCACTTTTCCTTGTGGTACTAAGTGTTTTGCTTCACGTGCAGCAGGTTCAGCAGGACTTAATTCCTTTTTTTTTTTTTTTTGTCAGAACACCTCGGAAATTGCTTGGAACTCCATGTTTATACAACATGTCTCTTGTATACATGCATGCTTGAGCGGCTATGGCCAACAAGTCTCTCTCTCTCTCCAACCTCCACACAGGCCTTGCTCACTCACTCTCTGAATGTCTTCCTCTCGCTCTCAATGTCTTCTCTCTCTATATACTACTCGCTATGGCGCCAAGTGCCGTATGCTACCCTGTCTCGCAGCCTCGCTCACTGCTTGATCGCACATGACCGCAACAGGCACGGACATAATTGTGTCAACGCTCTGCAGTGGCTGATCTTTTGTCCTTCCTGCAGCTTCCAAACTTGGATCTCTCCAGACCAGTACCTTTTGCCAGCCGGCCTCTGATGCATACGGAGTTTTCACAGACTTTCCCGAGACTGAACTGCATTGGATGACAGACTGACTCCTACAGACCCGTAACGAACTGGGCCGACTAGACTTTCTGACCTACCCGCCTACTGGATGGATCTACCGACTGATGTCAGGACGGCCTATGACACCTACCGGTTGGGACTATGATACATGGGGCCCTGGAACTTGAAACCGGGGGTGGGACTCAGATTCATGAGATCCTTTTTTTTTTTTTTCTCACAAACAGGCCCTTGTAATGACCTGCAAAATCACAGACTGAGAACTCTGCTATTTTCTGAGTTTTGCCACTGGACTGAGTGACTTGCTGAGATTCTTTTTTTTTCTTTTTTTCTTTTTTTTTTTTTAATAAACAGGTCCTTATGGCCCTGGCTCCGTGTCCATTCTGGGGAGCGTCAGTCCAGTTCCTATTCTCCCGGCAAGTCAAGATTGAATACAACATAGTACACACCCATGCTTCCTTCCGTCTGGCCGAAGGAACCCTGACCAGCATTGATTACTCCTGTATGGGAGGGTTGACTGTCAGCTTGCCCTACCCTAGCTTTCCTCTCAGATACCCTGTTACCCTGTTGGTTCTGTCGAATAGGTATTGAAGCACAAGAAAACCGGGAGAGATGTCTATCCGTCAGAGGCTAGAACCTCAATTTGTTCCTCTCGGCGCTACAATCCTTGTTGTTGTTGTAGTGGTCCATTTCTTCCAGTGTAACTCATTGTCTGAGACTGTCGCGATCTTCCCCTGTAGCAACCAGTCTCTCATGAAGATTCGTCTCCTGAGTGCGGGTCTTTCAGGTTTGCCTCTCATTGCTGTCGATATATTCCTCCAATTGCATCGGATCTCTGTTTCCACCATCCTCAGCAGCAGGTTCCACATTTCCTCCTTGGCCACTTCTGAACCCTCGATTGTCCTGGTACATCTCCTTTTCCATGTGACCCACAGGGCTATTTTCCTGATCATGTGGAACCAGACCGCTTTTCCACTTCTGAGGCTGTCGGGGATGTTAGATAGAAGTAGGATGTTCAGAGGGGTGAGGTTGGGGGGAGGGGATGAGAAGAGGTGGGACCATAGGTTTCGGACTTTGTTCCATATCAAGGCGGCCTGGCTGCAGTAGAGGAGGCAGTGGGGGATGTCTTAAGGGACGTTGTCATTGCACTTTACGCATAGTTCAGAGCTGTCGGGATCCGAGTGTTTTCTTCTTTTGTGGAGCCACTGGTTGACAGGGAGTGCTGCATGGGCTAGGAGCCACTGTAAGCTACGGATTCTAGCTGGTCTGATGGGGATGTATTTTGTCCAGGGGATGGATATTGAGGCTGTAGGCTCTAGGCTCAGTGTCTCTCTCCATCTGTCTACAAGTTTGGGGTTGGGGTCCGTGGTAAGTAGGCCTAGGTTGTACCCGAGTTTGACGTCGTAATCCATTATCGTTCTGGTTTTTCCGGTTTTGCTTTGTTTCCATATCCTCTCCTTAGGATCGAATTCGAGCTCCGTTATGCCGAGGCCAGGCTGGAAGATTATCCATGGTTTGGTTTTTGTTACCCTCACTTTTTGAAGAAGGAAGGACTCTATCGTCTCTAGCAAAGGTTCTCTGTTGAGAATCGCAAGTTCCTGGAGGTTGTGATTGGCGCTGGGATAGGAGTAGAATTTGGAAAGGTAGCCGGTGGCTGAGGTGCAGGATGCGAACCGGTATGCTATGTTCGGTGAAGTTTGGGATATGAGCATACCCCAGTCCCCTGGTTTTCAGGAGAAGTCTTCTTTCAAGAGGCGGAGCCAAGGGGGTGGGATGCTCTTCTGGATTGAACTTAGGTTGTCTGCGAGAGCGTGACATCCTTTTAGGGTGTTCCAGAGTTCTTGTTTCGTTCGCCATTCCCCCCGTTCTTCTTCCCACAGGTGTTTTACCTGCCACACACCTTTTTCAACCCACGACAACCATCTTCGGTTCTTCGTTCTTCGTGACCAGGGACTACCCTCGGGGTCCTTGATCCACTCGTTGCAAAACAGCAGTTGTCTTAGGGCATCTTTTTTGTTCTCCGTCGTGCCACATTTGCTTGGCATCATAAGTCGCCAGGCTTTCAGAGTCGGGGTCCAGTACGGGTTGGGTGTTGGGGCTGCCTGGTTGACTGAGTTACGTGTGGTGTTTCTGCGGGGTCTGCTTGATCTTATCGTCCACTCCTTTGCCATAATCCAGAAGTAGCCGCTCATGTTCGGTGGGGAGCTTATCGGTGCTAGGTTTCTTATGCTGTCTAGAGCCATGTTGGTCCATGGTAGGTATTGTTTGGTCAGGATCTTGATGATCCATTTCATCTGTAGTGCTGTTGATTCTTGCTTGGGGTCGATTAGCACTAGGCCTCCCTCCTGCGGTTTCCTAATGCTCTGGCTCCATGCTACCCTGTTGATGCATGAGGTTCAGTTGGGTTCCCCTGTCCATAGATAGTGTCTTGCTCTAGCCTTTATGGTTTGGAAGTCGGCGTCCGGAGGAGACCAGATGGGTGTGATGTACCATAGTGTGGAGAAGATGGTTGTGTTTATAATTAGTGCCCTCCCGATCAGCGATGCCTGTGCGTTCATGCATGGGGCCAAGCGAGTTATTGCTTTAGCAATTAAGCTGTGGCCCATGCCCGGCCACACGCCATCCTTGTTGACCATGATACCTAGGTATTTGAGTGTCTGTTCGCCCGTGGACCACGACATGGGTGTGGCTGTGCCTTCGGGTTGGGGGGGCGTCTCGTCTGCTAGCCACCATCCTTCAGTCTTGCTCCAGTTGACCTTCATTTCGGATAGGAGACGGAAAGCCTCCATAGCCCTCACGAGAGCTTGGAAGGAACTGTTCTTAGCACGGACAAGAACTGTGAGATCGTCCGCGAACATCAGAGCGGTGGGTAGGCGAAGTCGTGGAGTGGGTTGAAGTTCCGTTCGGTGAGCCGGTCTATGGACGGATCTTTGCGGAGGAAGGATGATATGGCTTCCATAATGAAGAGAAAAATGGGTGGAGCTAGGGGGTCACCTTGTCGTACGGATCTGGAGATGGGAGCAGGACTTAATTCCTGGAGTGTGCGATTTCGTTTTATTTCAGCGATTTGGATTGGATCTTGAAGAGGCAAGAAAGAAGTTTTTATTTTTCAGTTTGATGGTTCCCCTTCGTGGTTGTAATGAGTGTGGCGGTGTTAGAGCGTGGTGGGGGGTTGGTGGAAGTCGCGGAGAGGGTAGGCCGGTGATGGTCGGTCGTGCTGAGGTCCGGGAGTTTATGGTCTAGCCTGCACTGCTAGGCGATCCCGCAAGTTGCAAAAGTGATGGTGATTGGAATTGCTGGTGGGGTTAACAAGGACTGAAAAGTGGGGGTCCCTATTAATCCTGACCGGCCTTTGAGTTGGTTTAGATTCTAGAGTAATTCTATTCATCCGATCCCTGTTCCCCAGACCCATCCCCCACCTCCCCCCCCGAGAAATCACTTTTCAGTGTTGGGGGGGTTAACAAGGGCTGAAAAGTGGGGGTCCCTGTTAACCGTTTGTGCTCCCCCACCTCGCAACCCCCAACTCACCCCCGCCCCCATTCCTCTTCAACCCAACTTCGCTAACCAGTTAAAAACAGAAAAAGCCTGGATCTGGACAAAGCTTGGTGGGTGCAGGTGCAGTAATGCCCACCACCGCCGGAAAAAAAAAAAAAACATTTTTGCGTGCCTGCGGTATCCTGGGTGGGCTAGCGGGCAGGCAGCCAGGCGACGTGCACGGGCGGAGTGCCCCCCTGGTAAGATAGCAGATTGCCCAATTATTTAGAAAAAGGCACAGAACAACAACAGCAACAACAACAGTGCAATCAGACTCGCTTTCTCTTCCACTTCGCATACATGCAAACAAATGGCGATTTACACGGGTGCAGGGCGCCCACTCAAAGATCAGAGATATGGAAACCGAGAACACAGTTCAAATGCAAAATCGCTTCAACAGGCTATGGCGCGTCGGTGCCTGCACATCCCAACTTTGGTCACTGTGTCCAACACCACTGTTCGCGCATACTCAACTCTGGATCACCCTGA